TCCTCCTCCTCCTCCTCTCCTCCTCCTCCTCCTCCTCCTCCTCCTCCTCCTCCTCCTCCTCCTCCTCCTCCTCCTCCTCCTCCTCCTCCTCCTCCTCCTCCTCCTCCTCCTCCCCCCCCTGGGACCACAACCCCCCGTGAATCACACCGCGCTCGCGCCCACGCGGCCACCCCCCCTGGGATGTTGAGCCAAGTTCGCGCCCCCGGGGCCAATCCCCGACACGTTGCATCGCGCTCGCGCTCCCGAGGCCGCAGCCCGACATAGAGCACGACGGGCTCGCGCGCAGTGACCCACCAGAGCACCATGACAGCTCCGCGCCCCCCGAGGCCACGCTCCATTGTGAAGTGGAATGCGTTCGCGCTCCGGAGGCCACAGCCCATCGGAAATGACGTCACGCTCGCGCCCTCAAGTCCACCCCCCTGCAGCTTACGGCGCGGTCGTGCCCCCGAGGCTGCAATTCCTCGTATAACGCCGCTTGGGCTCTGCCCGAAGCCACCTCCCCTGGTAGATTGCAACAGCTGCGCGCCTCTGATGCTACAATTTCTCGTAACTCCGCTGCCGCGACCACTGGCACGTTGAGGCGTGGACGAACTGAATCGGGCAAGAACGGGCAGCGCCGATTTTGTCCGTTGGGGTCGCAGGGGGGAGAAAGAAGAGAGTAATGATGGCGACGACGAGGCGCCTGATGACGAGGATGACAGCGCGAATGACGGTGAGGGCAGCGAGGGCAGCAGGAGGGCAACGAGTAGGAAAACGAACACCGTGATGAAGTCGCTCGTAAATCCGCCACCCTACCCCCTGACACGTTGAGGTGTGGAATAATGTCAAGTGTTGCCTGGTGAGGTTGCTGTTGTACTCTTCTAGTGGACCCCCCTTACTGTCACGTCCACCTGCATGCATCGCGCCTTTCACCCCCCCCTCTCGAGGCTCCCTGAACGGCCCGACGCCTTCCTGGCGCTCTCCACGACGTCCCAGATGCCCTACCTGGCTTCCAAGACGGGCAAGACGGCCACCAAGGTCACCAAAGTGGCCGACGATGACACAAGACGGCCCGTGATGGCACCCAACATGGCCTCAATATTTCTCAATCTGCTCTCAAGACGACCCAAGAGAGCTCCAAGAGAACCTGAATGAGGGCCCGAAGAGACACATAGTTAATTGATTCCCCTTAGGTGTTGGAAACATGTTTGCATCTTCGCCTTTTCTGGCTTCCGTCAGCTCACGACGGCCCAATGAGCCTCCCAGATGGCTTCAAGACGGCCTACGTACGATGGCCTTAAGCGGGCCCCAAGACGGCCCAAGAGAATCCCAAGATGGTCATACCCAAGAACAGAGCAAAAGGCTCCCAAGTGGGCCTACGGAGGCCCTCAGACGGCCCTCCAGGTGCCCAAGGGGGCCCCCAAACGACCCAGAGAGCTACCACGATGGACTCCGGAAGCGCCCAGGTGGGCACGGAGCGCCTGCGGACGGCCCAAGGAACCCCCAAGAGCCTCAGAGGCGCCCCCGAGACTCTGTCAAGAGGCCCCGAGGTCAGGCCCTGAGAACACAGGCAGCCCAATGCAGCAAAACCAGAGGAAGGCGGAACGCGCGTAAGCGCAGGAGCGACCGAAACGAAACAAAAGCGAAGCAACATCTAAGGCCTGGGGCGAACGCCGGAGCGGAGGGAGGGGCCCGAGGTCTTCAAGAAATCCGACCTGTCACACGTGATGGCCTCCCGTGCCCACTCGAGTGGACCCAGAGTGCTGCGCTGGCACGGCGGCGGGACCGCCGCAGGCAGCTTCCTCCTCCTCCTCCTCCTCCTCCCTCTCCCCCTCCTCCTCCTCCTTTTCCTCCTCCTCTTCCTCCTCCTTCTCCTCCTCCTCCTCCTCGTCCCACTCCCCCCGCCCTTTTTCCGCGCGACTTGCCGGGCCTGGACCACTGCGAATTCGCGCCCTCGAGACGACGAACCCACCCTACGGAGGCTGACCCAACAACGCCTCACAGAAACAATGGTCTGTGCTGGGACATGTGTTCGGGGAATGTTTTTTCCCCACATCCTAAGTCGGGTTCTTGTTTTCTCTGCACACCCTCCGCGCAGGATCTCCTCCTCCTCCTCCTCCTCCTCCCTCTCCTCTGCTATTCTTTGCTTCCTCCTCCGCATCATCATAACCATCACCATCACTCCCCACTCATCATCATCACCATCACCATCGCACGATCACTCACCATCATCGGCATCGAACGATCATCATCATCATCATCATCATCATCATCATCATCATCATCATCATCATCATCATCATCAACATCATCATCATCATCATCATCATCATCATCATCATCACTACTCGCTGACTTGAGGCCTGAATATGGAGGAAATCGTGAGCGGGAGCCTCGTCTGTGAGTGAATTGTGAGGAAGTCTCAGGCGGGAGCCCCCTCACTATGGGGCCCGCACTTCATGTTCGAATCCGAGCGGGCCATCCGAAACGTGCAACTGTCGTCACTTTTGGGCTCTTGAAACCTGAATATGGAGGAAATCGTGAGCGGGAGCCTCGTCTGTGAGTGAATTGTGAGGAAGTCTCAGGCGGGAGCCCCCTCCCTATGGGGCCCGCAGTTCATGTTCGAATCCGAGCGGGCCATCCGAAACGTGCAACTGTCGTCACTTTTGGGCTCTTGAGACCTGAATATGGAGGACGTCTCGAGCGGGAGCATCGTCTGTGAGTGAATTGTGAGGAAGTCTCAGGCGGGAGCCCCCTCCCTATGGGGCCCGCACTTCATGTTCGAATCCGAGCGGGTCATCCGAAACGTGCAACTGTCGTCACTTTTGGGCTCTTGAGACCTGAATATGGCGGAAGTCTCGAGCGGGAGCCTCGTCTGTGAGTGAATTGTGAGGAAGTCTCAGGCGGGAGCCCCCTCCCTATGGGGCCCGCACTTCATGTTCGAATCCAAGCGGGTCATCCGAAACGTGCAACTGTCGTAACTCTTTTGGGCTCTTGAGACCTGAATATGGAGGAAGTATCAGGCGGGAACCTCGTCTGTGAGTGAATTGTGAGGAAGTCTCAGGCGGGAACCCCCTCCCCTCCCTATGGGGCCCGCACTTCATGTTCGAATCCGAGCCGGTCATCCGAAACGTGCAACTGTCGTCACCTGTGGGCTCTTGAGACCAGAATATGGAGGACGTCTCGAGCGGGAGCATCGATTGTAAGTGCATTGTGAGGAAGTCTCAGGCGGCAGCCCCCTCCCTATGGGGCCCGCGCTTCATGTCCGAATCCGAGCGGGTCATCCGAAACGTGCAACTGTCGTCACTTTTGGGCTCTTGAGACCTGAATATGGAGGAAGTCTCGAGCGGGAGCCTCGTCTGTGAGTGAATTGTGAGGAAGTCTCAGGCGGGAGCCCCCTCCCTATGGGGCCCGCTTCCCGAGGCGCTGGCCGAGGCGGCGACGGCGCTGAGGAAAATGGATTTGCTTGCCCCGACGAGGGGGAAGGGGAGGTGCACATGGAGAAAAGGCAGGGGGATGAGGAGGGAAGGGGCATGGGGGAGGCCGACGACGAGGAGGAGGTGGCGCGAGAGGAGGAGGAGGAGGAGGAGGGAGGAGGAGGAGGAGGAGGAGGAGGAGGAGGAGGAAGAGGAGGAGGAGGAGAGGAGGAGGAGGCAGAGAATTACTCCGACTGTAGGACCCCGCATGAGAATCTGTTTAGTTTACCTTTTGCCCTTTCCTCATCCCCCTGGCGGACACCCTCTCCTCTCGCCCCCTGCACTGCCGCCTGAGACTTCCTCACAATTCACTCACAGACGAGGCTCCCGCTCGAGACTCCCTCCATATTCAGGTCTCAAGAGCCCAAAAGTGTTACGACAGTTGCACGTTTCGGATGACCCGCTCGGATTCGAACATGAAGTGCGGGCCCCATAGGGAGGGGGCTCCCGCCTGAGACTTCCTCACAATTCACTCACAGGCCATGCTCCCGCTCGAGACTTCCTCCATATTCAGGTCTCAAGAGCCCAAAAGTGACGACAGTTGCACGTTTCGGACGACCCGCTCGGATTCGAACATGAAGCGCGGGCCCCATAGGGAGGGGGCTCCCGCCTGAGACTTCCTCACAATTCACTCACAGACGAGGCTCCCGCTCGAGACTTCCTCCATATTCAGGTCTCAAGAGCCCAACAGTGATGACAGTTGCACGTTTCGGATGACCCGCTCGGATTCGAACATGAAGTGCGGGCCCCATAGGGAGGGGGCTCCCGCCTGAGACTTCCTCACAATTCACTCACAGACGAGGCTCCCGCTCGAGACTTCCTCCATATTCAGGTCTCAAGAGCCCAAAAGTGACGACAGTTGCACGTTGCGGACGACCCGCTCGGATTCAAACATGAAGTGCGGGCCCCATAGGGAGGGGGCTCCCGCCTGAGACTTCCTCGCAATTCACTCACAGACGAGGCTCCCGCTCGAGACTTCCTCCATATTCAGGTCTCAAGAGCCCAAAAGTGACGACAGTTGCACGTTGCGGATGACCCGCTCGGATTCGAACATGAAGTGCGGGCCCCATAGGGAGGGGGCTCCCGCCTGAGACTTCCTCACAATTCACTCACAGACGAGGCTCCCGCCTGATACTTCCTCCATATTCAGGCCTCAAGTCAGCGAGTAGTGATGATGATGATGATGATGATGATGATGATGATGATGATGATGATGATGATGATGATGATGATGATGATGATGATGATGATCGTTCGATGCCGATGATGGTGAGTGATCGTGCGATGGTGATGGTGATGCTGATGGTGATGATGATGATGATGATGGGGAGTGATGGTGATGGTTATGATGATGCGGAGGAGGAAGCAAAGAAGAGCAGAGGAGAGGGAGGAGGAGGAGGAGGAGGAGGAGGAGGAGGAGGAGGAGATCCTGCGCGGAGGGTGTGCAGAGAAAACAAGAACCCCACTTAGGATGTGGGGAAATAGAAGGGGGAAGAGAGGGCAGTGAAGGGCGACAGGAGAGGGTGTCCGCCAGGGGGAGGAGGAAAGGGCAAAGGGTAAGCTAAACAGATTCTCATGTGGGGTCCTACCGTCGGAGTAATTGGTTCCCCCGCTGTCTCGGGAACACTTGGCGCACGACCCGAAGCCACGACGCGCGCAACCGGCCAGCCGACGAACAGCCAGAATCAACTGGCAACCATCAATTTTGATAACAAGCCAATCAGCCGAGTTTCCAGCCAGCCAAGGGATAAGCCAACCAACCGACCCACCGACCAAGCGTGGCCATGTAAACAATCTGAGAGGGGCCGGCAGGGGGCGAAGCCCTTCAAGTCCGATCGCTCTCAAATGCACGTCGTCGTCAACGTGTGCCGCGACTCGAGGCACGTCAAGGACCACCGTACGTCGTGTACTCTAATTCGAGATTGCTCAAATTGATGTTGGGATTTACGTACTTCTCTGAGACGCCTGCAAACAAGCCGACTCCGTCCGACTCTTCGGCATGTGCCTCATGACCCTGACCAAACAGCCGGACATAATACTTCCCGGTCTTTTCCTTCACATCCTGGGATGTGACCAGCACGCGATGCTCCACGGGAAGCCTCAAAAACCGCAACACGGCACCCTCTGGGAACGCTTTCTGTATCGACAAAATGACTTGAATGAACTCATGCTTCAACCTGTCGGGCAACTTCTTCGGTGCAACCGCGTTCCACGACGAAAACAATTGGTTGGCTACGTCCCTCGACTGGTCTCCAACCCTGACGCGCACCTCTTCAGACTCAAACTCAACCGTATCCCCAATCTTTTGCCTACAGTTGGTCAGTCCACCGGCGTCGATCGCAGGATACATCATTTCTCTTTTGCCCTCGCTGAAGCCATATCCAACTCCATCTTTCTTGCCCTTCCCAATGTGATATAACATGATGACGCTCTTGCTCGGAAGAAGGCCCGTGATCGACTTAGCCACAGCGTCCACCTCGCGTGCTTCCCCAGCGAGCACCACAGCGATGACCTTCTCCTTGAGCACCGAGGCGGGAAACCCAGGCTTGGGTACCTCGGTGGTCCCCTTCTCCCTCCTGTAGAACTCGCTGACGACGAGCCTCTCCCACTCCTGGTACTCCCTCGCGCATATCCTCCGCGGCCTGTGCTTGCGGCGTACGTGGGCCCGCCACGCTGCCAGGGCTGCCAGGCAGCCAGCTGCCCCGGCGCTGCCGCAGAGCCTGCCCGGGCCGCCGCAGACCATGGCCACGGGGGAGAGCACACCGCGCACGGGGCGGCGAGTCGGGCCGCCCTCCCTCTGCGCCCCCGCGGGGGGGCCGCCCCCGAGGAGGTCCGCACAGACTCGGTCGAAGAGCCGCGCCGCACCGGCGATGCGTCGGCGTGACCACAACGGGGCTCCACATCGAGCCACATCGCCGACGCGTCGGCGATGCGGTGCCCGGTGCACTGTGGGCGACCTGAGTCCTCCTGGTCCTCCTCCTCCTCCTCCACCTCGAACCGCCTCTCCGCCATCTGGACCAGTCTATCGGAGTCGCTCTTCTCGACATGATCCAATGTGTAAACAGCCTTGTCGGCCCTTCCACTCGATGGGAGAGGCCTGGTAAGCACACGGACCGTCCGAAGAGAAGAAAGGAGGCCCCAGCGGCGGGGACCCCAACGGAAAGATCCCTCTCGCTGCGCAAGCTCTCATCTGCCCTCCCTGCCTCGCACTCCCTCCCCTCCCTTTCTTGCATCCCTCCCTCCCCTTCCTTCCCGCCTTCTCTTCCTCCTCCTCCCCCTCTCCTCTGCCTCCATCGGTGCATCCCGCTACCTCTCCCTCCTTCCTGTCCTTCCTGCTGCCCCCTTGGGATCTCCACTCCGGAAAGTCTTCCCATCCTTGTTATGACACAGGCGCGGAGGAGTGATTAGATCACCCCGCAGGGCGTCGGGAGGACTTAACAAAGGCGGCCCGACCAATACAAAGCAGAACGTTAGGCCCGCAAGCTGCCTTACACAGTTTCGAATCCAAGAAGGCGGACGAGGCCGAGGAGGAAGGGTGGAAAGTGTGGAATAGCATTCAGAGCGAAGTAGCAGCGGAGGTGAAAATCAGCACCTGGCCGCAGCACTGCCAAATGGACGCCGGAATGCCGCACGCTGCTGGGTGGACGCCGGCGTGTCGCACTGTGCCCGAGGAAGGAAGAGGAGGAGGAAGGGAGGAGGAGCAAGCAAAAAACGAACACCACCAGGGACGGGCCTAAAAACAGCGGAAAAGGTGGTACATCGAAAAACTGCATGCTGTCTCCTGCGGGTGCCGGCCGTGGTCAGGAGAGCCAAGAATCGAATCGAGAAGTCGGATCGGTGATCGAAATCGGATCGGCGAAAATCAGCAGCCAAGTCGGGAGAAGTCGAATCGGCAGAAATCGGCAAGCCAGCAAGCCTCCACTGAGACATCGGAATCCGAATCGGAATCCGAAGTCGAATCGAATCGGAGTCGAAATCCATCGAAATCGAATCGGATCGAACCGGAGGAGTCGAAATGAGCCCTGGGTGACAAATCACAACGAGCATCAACTTTTTGAGCAGGGACCGATCGTGCTGGCGTTCAGATAGGCCTACCACGACATGTTCTTAGAGCTCAATGCGTGTCCCAATAACAAAAAGCAATGTTCTTAGAACACAAGCCCGATGCGGACACAAAACAGTCTCAGCCAGACATGCTCTGAGAACATCTCGTGCAGGCCACAAGAGGTTCTTAGAACACTCATTGGTGGGCCTATGTCGGCGACTCCGAAGGGTGTGATTTGCAAAGTGTGTGGTTTGCAACCGGCACCCCGGGGAACATCCTGGGGGGGCACCCTGGGGGCGCGCGTGGACCTCGACAGAGTTCTCACGCGCCCCGACGAGGCCCGACGAGGACAGTGTCGTGCCCCCCAGACCCGACGGTGCCTATCGCAGACCACACCCCGGCGCAACCGTGCCGTGTGTGGACGCCGACTGCAGGCGGGCCCAAACCCTTCGCCGCTGCTCGACTTTTCCGCGCGGACTTCTTGGAATCGCGCTCGCCTCCCCTCCCCTGGCGGCGCCATCGGCACCGAGCTCCAGCGCGCTTCGCGCGCCGGGGGGGGGGGAAGACCCAGCGCCGCCCCGAGGAATCCGCGCAGGCCTCCCAAGGCTTACAGGCAACACTGACAGTAAGGATGCAAGCTAAGACGAGGCCAGGACGAGGGTAGACTCGGGTGAAGATGAATCAGAATTCACGGAGATTCGGCTGCTCTGGAAGGGGTTATCGGGCGCCGCGGCCTCCTCAGAGCGTTCCGGGACGCTCTGAGAACGTACCGGAACGCTTTGGAACGGAATTATCCTCGTCCCAGCCCCGTCCGATGCAAGCCCCCTGGGACGCCCATGTCGAAGCTGTCCGAGCGGGGATGGCCATCGAAAGCGGTAAGGATAGGCCGAAGAGGCAAGGATTGGATGCAAGGGTACCCGTGGGAGGGTTACCCATCCTTACCATCGATCTCGACAGTGCAGCCAGACCTAGGACAGAAGAACGCCCCTTAAGAACACGAGACCCTCCGTCGGCCAAACTGAAGAACATTCGAGGGTACCCTCGCCAAGGATGTACACAAACATCCAACAACCACGAAGAACTCCTTAGGGTACCCTCGCATAATCGACTTCGATCTTCTACCTCGGTCCAGCTGCAAGTCATGCCGCCTTTTCTCTCTGGACTCATGGCGATCTCTTCTCGCTCCTCCTTCGCCGTCCTTCTCCGCCATCCTCCGCGCACTACCCTCACGTCTCCTCGCCGTCCTCCCTCGCCTCCGCCTCTCCCGCCCCTTGGAACGCCAAAAAAAGGTACGAAGAAAAACGGGTACCCGTCGGTCGGAAGATGTGGGCAGAAGCATGAAGTAGGAAGGCGCTGGAAGTAGAGTGGGCTTCCGCCCGCCCCCTGAAGAGGAAGAAAAATGGCGCCGCAAGCAAGCATATTGGAATCTGGGAATCCAGACATACCTAGGTTCAACGACCGCCGGCTACGATGCAAAACAGCGAAGGTTGTCCAACATCGACAGCGGCCGCTGTTGATCAGGAGGCCCCCTGCCTCAAATGGATCCCGTCCGCGGCGACACCGACAACGAACCCTGCTCAACATGGACAAGAACTGCTGTCGGTCTTCGTACCCATTCTTTCCGTACCGATTTCTCGGCGGCGAGCCCCGGCGGGAATTGCGAAGGTCGGGTCGGGCGAAAGGGGGGGATAGCAAAGGGGGGGTTTGAGAATCAGCTCACGTAGCTGATTTTCCCGGCGCCTCCCGGCGCCAGAGGCGCCCATGTATCGAGGAATGGGCCCCTCGGCGGGCCGAAACCAGCTGCATGCTGCAACCCCCCCTTTCCCAAACCCCCCCTTTCGCCCGACCCGAGAAGGGGCGGGCCACCTCGGAAGGCTCGCAGGCCCCCCGGCCTTCTGGGAGATGCTGCGAGCCTTCCCCGAGGACGCAGAGAACTTCTCGGGAGGTCGGAGGGCTTCTCGGGAGCCCCACCGCCTTCTCGGAGGGCCTCCTCCCTCTCGATCCTCCTCCTCCTCCTCCTCCTCCTCCTCCTCCTCCTCCTCCTCCTCTTGCCTCTCAGTCCTCCCTCTCAGTCCTCCCTCTCACCCCTCGCTCGCGGCCGCATCTCGTCCGTGCCGAGAGCCCCGGCCTCTCCCGCCCCTTCCCCCCATCGGCAGGAGGAGGAGGAGAGAAAGAGAAGGGGAACAAGAAGGAGGAGGAGACACGAGGAGGGAGGGAGGAGCAAAAGCGAGAAGGGGGAGGGAGGCAGAGGGGAGAGGCGAAGAAGGGAGGCCGAGGGGAAGCAGGAGGAGAGGAAGGGGAGGCGGAGGAGGCGGGAGGAAGGCCGCCGCCTCCCCCTCCCCCGCCCCCGGGGGGGGGCGGTCTGGGGCGGGCGGGGGCGCGCGCCGGCCTTCTCGGAGACCTTGCTCCTGACGACCTCGTCCTCGGACCCGTCGAAGGCCCACCGGACCTGGGAGGGGGGGCAACCCTGAGTGAGAGAGCCCCTCCTCTCTGGAAGGTGCCCTGGCCCCAAGAGGGCCTCCAGAGGGCCCCAAGAGGGCCCCGCGAGACCCTCAAGAGTGCTCGGTCCAATCTTGTCTCTGGAGGCTGCTCGACAGGCTGGTATGGCCTCCCGCTTTGATCGATGTCCTCCAAGATCGCTCCAAAAACGCACCCTCAAGATGCCCACTGACGCCTCGCGGGGCTCCCATGAGAAATCCAAGAGACCAGCTCCACCAAGCGAACTCCCAACAGTGCCTGTTTTCTTTTAGCGGCCGTCCTGTGCTTAGGTTGCTCCTTTCGTACTTAGGGACCACATCCCAGAAAGAATTTCGAGCACACGGAAAAGTGTCGAAGGAGTGTCTAAACTGTGTCGAAACAGTGTCGGGCGAGTGTCTCCCAGGTCCCGACGCGTGAAAACCCTCGAGTTTCGGTACTTGTTTCTGGTGCTCGAAATTCTGGTGGTCAAGGCTAGAGTAGACTGGAACATCGCATCGTTTCCGAACGGGCTGGTGGGGATGCGCGACGCGTCAACGAGCTCCCTCGATCGATGGCGTTGCGCCCGCGCCAGCAGGGCCACGAGCCTTGTGCACATGACCCTGGGCTCGCGCTCCTGGGGCCACGAGCCCGCCCTGGCAAATCAGTCGGGAGCGGCCAAAAGGGGGGTGTCCAAGGGGGGGTGCAAATCATGACCGGCGGCATGTGCGCGGCCCAGCGGGGGGGGCCAGGGACGTAATGAAATAAGGAGAGGCGACATGACATCTGGGGAAACATCATGGCCCACGCCATGATATCCCCCCCCTAGTCATCAACCCCCTCTTTGCCGCCTCCGAATCAGGCAGGGCTGCCGTTCCCGAAGCCGGGGATCTTCTGACCTGGTCAATCCAGACCCGGGTCAGCCAAGCCTTGCAGAATCCTCTGGGGATCCCAAAACCCGGGGGTCCGCGCGCAGGATCCTGCACTTGACCCTGCAGACTCCTGCGAGCCTGAGCCCGGGGCCAGTGCACGCCTGGCGCTGCAGGATCCTGCAGGATCCGGCGCTCTGGCTGACCCCCGCTTGCATTGACCCCCGTCTCCGCCGGTCGCTTGCTGCCCTCCAGACAATACTAAGTCGTGCCACAAATCTGCTGATGTTTACCTTGCTCCTCCCTCCTCCTCCTCCCCCTCCCGCTCCTCCTCCTCCTCCTCCTCCTCCTCCTCCTCCTCCTCCTCCTCCTCCTCCTCCTCCTCCTCCTCCTCCTCCTCCTCCTCCTCCCCCCGACGAACGACGCAGCATGCCGGAGCGCCCGCCCTCCTCCTCCTCCTCCTCCTCCTCCTCCTCCTCCTCCTCCTCCTCTCCTCCTCCTCCCTCCTCCTCCTCCTCCTCCTCCTCCTCCTCCTCCTCCTCCTCCTCCTCCTCCTCCTCCTCCTCCTCCCCCCGACGAACGACGCGCCGCCGGGGGCCTCCGCGCCCGGGCGGCGCCGGGGGCCTCCGAGGCGCGGGGCGCGCCGCCACCGAGCGGCCGCGCGCGCGGCACCCGCGCGCCCGTCCGCCGGCCGGAGCGCCCGCACCCCGGCGGGGGACGGGAGGAGTTCTGTTCTGAGGGGGCCCATGGGGCACACAAGTACATACCGTCGGGGCCCCTTTTTTCCACAAGTTAGACTTCGATTTCCGATCGAAAACATGAGGAGAACCTGAGGCAAGCTGCGAAACACTTAAAGAACGCGGAGCCCCTCCCCAACGAAAAGGGTTCCTTCTTCAAGGCCCCGGCTGTACTTTTTTCGGTCGCGGCCGCGAGACGACGGTCAGGCGGCAAGAGCAGAATCCGGGACGCGAACTAGGCGAATTAGCTAAAACAGGCGCAGACCGGCCGGCCCACTCAGACAGCAGCCGCGAAGCTGAAGGGGACACAAGTACAGACACACACACACACACAAAGAACAGGATCCCCCATATGTTCACACATCTTCTGGGTTTTCTTGTCTTCCCCCCCCCCACGTCCCACACTTTCCCACATCTTTTCCGGGAAATCGACGATTCACTGTGTCTGTGTGTTTTTGTGCCCTCCTGAAGTTCGTGCTGCCTCTTCGGCAGACCTCGTCTCGCTGCACCGGCCCTGCAGACGTGCTCCAGCGGATTGTGGCTCAGAACCCCGAGGCGGCGAGCGAAAGACGAGGTGAATTCCACGTGGACTTTTGTTGTTGGAGGAGGAGGAGGAGGAGGAGGAGGAGGAGGTGAATTCCACGTGGACTTTTGTTTAGTCTTCACTCCTGGCCAAAGAATCCGCGCAGAATCCACTTCGAATTCCGGAACGAGCTTCTCCAGGACACCCTGGGCCCATCCTTATCGTTTTCCGAACGGAGTCCGCTCTGCGATGTTGGAGCCATGACTTGTCTGTCCCCGCTCGGCCCTAGCCACGTCGAATCGATGTCGAATCCATGTCGGGCGTGTCGGAACCGTGTCGAATCCGCGCCGAATCCGCGCCAAATCCGCGTCGAGTCCGCACAGAGCCCGCGTCGGGCACAGGAAAAGATACAATATTTTGGGACAGGCGAGGTCCCCCGAAGATGCATCGTAAGGGAGTGTGCGGTCTGGGGGGAAGCGAAGCAAAGGAGCAAGTCCAATCCCTGGGAAGGCTGAGGACATTGTACTACGATCGGCGTCGCCGCTCCCCTGGTCCGCTCCCCTCCCACTCTCCCTCGCGTGGGAAAGGGGGCAGACGGGACGAGGGAGGAAGTGGGAAATCATTCAGGCGAAGGACCCAACCATATGCAACTGTGAGGAACGGTCCTCGGTGGAGCTCCCTATGGGGCCACGAACTGCGTGAGGGGTGAAGGGTGCGCCGAAATGGAGGTGGAACTGCATGCGGATTTTGCCACTGGGGCCTTCGGTGGCCCACGAACCGCGTGAGGGGTGCGCCGAAGTGGGGGTGGAACTGCATGCGGAACTTTGCCACTGGGGCCTTCGGTGGAGCTCCTGTGGGGCCACGAACTGTGTGAGGGGTGTACCGAAACAGATACGTGCGGAGGGCAGAGGCAAAGAGGCAGAGGAGGGGGAGGAGGAAGGAAGGAGGAGGAGACGCGGGGCGCTGTCTCTTCAAAACAAGGACGCAACACCACAGGATGGTTGGGGAAAAGGAGGAGGGCCTTGACGATTGACTCGTTCACCTCCAGGATGGTGCACTCCAGAACTTCCCTGCCGAACTTCGCCTCCGCTATGCAGCCCACCTGTTCGCGCCGCTCAGAGGTTGGGCAGGGAGCAGCGCTGCGCAATAGCCGAAGCCGAAGCCGGGTTGAATCATCCTCGTCCTCGTTGTCGTCCCCGTCCTCCCCCCTCGTCGTCCTCGTTCTCGTTCTCGCCCTCGTCATCGTCGTCGTCGTCCTCCTCCTCCACTTCGACCTCGTTCCTGTCCTCGTCGGCATCATCGAAGCGCCGGAGGCGCAACGGGCCCAACGGCTGCCTTGAGGCCACCGATGCTCTACCGACATTCCTCCTCGTCCTCGTCCTTCTCGCGGGCGTTGTCTGCCTCGTCCTTCTCGCGGGCGGGCTCCGCGCCCCGTCTCGAGGGCGTCCTCTCCCTCGCCCTCGTCATCCTCGTCGTCGTCCTCCCCTAAAGGAGCGAGCAACAACGCGAACAGATAAAGTTTCGGCGTTCCGCGTGGATTTGGGCGTTGGGTCTCCCTCCCTGGCCGTTCCGAGAAATCCGCGCGGACCTCCGAAGTTTCGTGTCTATACCGCGTGTTGTTCCTTCGTCTTCGTTTTCGTCTTCGCAAGCGGTCGGCATTCCTGTTGCGGCCTGATCCTCTCCAACGCAAGAGAGGGGAACAAGGACGACGGAAAGGAACCAGCACCATCCGGCAGGCCTCTCTGGGTTGATGCGGCGCTGCAATGACGGCGGCGCGAGAGACCACCGTGGCCCCCCTGGTGAGAACCGAACCCAACGCCAGGCACAGCAGCAACCCTCATGACACACCCATGTTCACTGTGAACTCGACGCCGCGGGAGGCGGCAAAACAGGGCTTGGGTCGAGACTCGGAAGAAGAGGATGGGCCGAGTCCCCCAGCCTCAGCCCCGTTCCCCTCCTCCCGTCCCCGTTCCCGCCTCCTTGCTCGTTCCGTCCCCCTCCTCCTCCTCCTCCTCCTCCTCCTCCTCCTCCCTGTCTCCTCCCTCCTCCTCCTCCTCCTCCTTCTCCTCCCTCCCCCCCCTCCCCCTCCCCCCCCCCCCCCCCCCCCCCCCCCCTTCCCCTCCTCCTTCCCCCTCCCCCTCGCCCTCCCCGGGCTTAAACTCACGCCATTCAAGCCGAAAACCAAGGACAAGGGCGGCGAGCAGCAGGGGGGCACCAACTTGCGAGGAGCTGTGGGGGTTGCCCCCGACGCCGTCGCGACGCTGGAGGCCGCCCTGAAGGTCGTACAAGACCCGTTGGCGAAGGTCATCCTGGAGAAGCAGTTTGGGCAGGCGCGCGCGGCGGCGACCTCGCCCAAGAGCGTGCCCGCCGAGGAGGCGGTCCGCCTGGCGTGAGGGCGCCTGGCGCGACGCCTCCGCCAATTGGGAGCAGGCCCGTGCGCGGGTCGAGCGGTGTGCGCTCAACCTCCAGCGTGCTCGCGAGCGCGAGGAAGAGACGGCGCGCACGCTGGCGCTGGCTGAGGTCAGCAGGCGCAGCGCGGCGGCGCTGGCGAAGGCCACGGGGATCACCCCAGAGCCTGCCGCAGAGCCCGACGTGCCGCTCATCGACCTGTCGTGGGATACCAGTTTCTTCGGCAACATGATGACCTCGAGTGCAGCACCGAGGAAAAAAGGCATAGTTGAAAAAGACAGCAGGAGCTGCAGGCCGCCAGGGAGAGCGCGCACTCCAGGGCGGAGCAGGTCTCGCAGCGGCGGGGCAGGGCCCGAGAGTTGCGCGAGCGGGCGCAGGAGCGCACGGCGAAGAAGCGGCGCGCCGACGGCGAGGGCGCCTCACAAAGGGGCCGCCGTGCCGGGCGCGGGGGCGCCAGGCGCCAGCCGGCCCGCGGCGGCAGGTGCAGCGCCCCCTCCAGCTGCCGCGGCGCCCGGCGGCCCCGCGGCGGCGGCCCCCCTCTTGCCCGGCCGCGGCGGCCGCGGCTCAGGGCGACGCGCAGAGGGCCCCTCCGAGGGGCAGATCGAGGCCGAGATCGACAGGCGGCGCGCGGCCGCGGCGGCAGGAGCGGAGGCCAGCGCCGACGCCGCGCCGCGGGTCGCCGCTGCGGGCGCGCGAGCCCGTGCGGCGGGCGAGGGAGCGGCGGCCACCTCGCCCGCCGAGCCGCGCGGGCCGCCTGCCGCAGCTGGTGAGGATGATGCTGGAGACGAGCCTAGCCCGTGCAGCATGTTCTTCGCGAGCGTGACCTGCTTAGGCCCCAAAGCTTGGGACCGCGTCAGCGCGCAAACTTTTACCTAGCAGTGCCAGTCCATAGCCTTGACGGAAACCCATGCTGGATGCCATGCTCGTTCGAAGTGGGCGCGGAGTGCCAGGCGGGCGAAGTGGAAGGTTCATAGACAACCCTGCCCGAGCGACATGCAGAGCGACCTCGGCGTCCACGGTGGGCAAGGCCAACGGGGGCGGGGAGCTCTTCATGTGCCAGGGCCATCGTCACGCGCACAGAGTGATCCCGAAGGCGTCTTCTGTGCCTAGTTTCTGTGCTGAGGGATCAGATGCCCTCGGCGGCTTCCTTCCAATCGTCTTGCACATGGCTGCTTGTTCGATTATCGCGATCATCTTGTACGCTCATGCGCCAGTCGGGTTCGCAGGAGAAACTTGCAGCGCTTCGCCAAGCTAGGCGCTTCCATCCAGAGTGTGCAGTTACCTTGGTTTATAGCCAGTGACTTTAACATTGACATCAGTGCGTTCGAGCGTTCGGCATTCTTGAAGCGAGCCCAAGGATTCACCAACCGGGCAGATATAGAATTTACTTGCGTCGGGAGTGCAGGTGGATCGCATCTCGATTTTGCTGCTGCGTCTGAGAATTGCCTTCCGTACATGCATGGCATGTCAGCGGTCACCGATGTGCCTTGGAGCCCTCGCTGTGGTCTAGAAATCCGGCTAAGAGGGGCGGGGCAGCAATTGATGATGAGGTCCCTGGAAGTAGCTCCTCGCCTCCCCCAGGCCCCTCGTCCTCCCTCCCCCCCCACTGCTGGCTCCAAGAATAGCGTTGCCAAGCTCGCCCATCAGGAGAAAGCGCAGCAACCTCGTGAGCGCATCAAAGCAGATTGTGAACATTTATTTTCCGACGCTTTTCCTGCGCCCAGGCCATCAGGGCCCGATGTTTTGCACCTCTCGGATCCTGGGACTGCGGCCGACAACCCTGAAGTCCTGCCTGCGTCGGATCCCATTTTGGATCCCGATTTTGAAGGCTGTGATCTGGACGTCGGCTTCGAGGAAGAAGACCCCTGGGCCGAGGGGTCGCGTGTTAAGCCATGCTGTTGTCGACCAGCAGCAGTGCGATAGTAGTGCAGTAAGACAGAGCTCGAATGATTGCGTGACCTCTGGAGGGGGGATCGGAAGTTGGCGAACGTTTGGGAGGGGGCCCAGCCCCTGCGTCTGGCCCTGGGGAGACGGGCCTCGGCACGGCCGAGGGGCAGCATCATCTCGCCCCTGCTGATGCTGCTGCGGCTCCTGCTCCTCTCCCGACGTTCTCCATTCCCAGCTCCACGTGCGCGGCCATCTCGGCTCAAGTTGCCTGGCACTCACACTCTTCCTCCGACCCTTGGTCGCTCATTAAACAATCTCTCGCCTACCAGGCAGGCGAGAAGCATATCCTTTCCATCAGTGACAAGCTCGCGCGATGGATTGGCACAATGGAGCAGACCATCGCTTGTCACCATGGCATCGGAGTTCCCAGGCTCTCTCTCGGCGCGAGGGCTTCAACGCGCAGGTGATGCCCGCGCGCCCGGCCGAGCACTCGCGGACCCGGCCGCTCAAGGACGGCGCGGCAGGATGGCGGGGCAGGCTGCGCACGGTGGCGCAGCGCGCGCTGCGGCATCGGAGGCGGCGCAACGGCGAGAGCCAGGCGTTGCTCCTGGCAGAGGCTGTTCGACGCCTGGCGGACCAGCCGCTGGATGGAGCAGGCTCTGCTTTGCCGCCTGCGCAAGGGTGCTGGGCCCCCCTCCTGGGCGACATGCGACGGCTGGGGGACCTCGCGGTGGACCAGCTCGCCAACTGGGAGGAGAAGTGCTCCATGGCTGCTCGTCGCGCTCAGAGCCGCGCGGCAGCGGCCTCGCTGCGCGAGTTCCAGGACTGGATCTGTTCGACAGCGACGCAGGGGCAAGTGTACTGCAGCGTCAAGGACGGCGACCCTGAGCCTGATGAGCTCGACGCCGATGCGGGGGCCCCTGCGCGCCCCGTCGATATTGTGGATAAGAAAATGGAGAAGTGGCAGGCCAAGCCGAGAGGGCCAGCCTCGCGCAGCAGCATCATGAACACCCTCGACGACGTCAGGGCGCTCGCGGAGGTTGAGACGCTCGAGCCACTTACGGCCAGTGTTTTGAGGACGGCGCTGCGGGGCATGAAGGCCCGCGCGGGCCTTGGAGTGGACCGCTTGTCGCCACTCGACTTCGAGCGGCCCCCGCAAGAGGGGCTCCGGAAGATGTGCGACCTCTTCGCCACGATCTAGGAGGGCCTCTCCTGGCCGTGGCAGGTCCTGTGTATGATCGCGCGGCTACTGGCCAAGCGGTCGGGCGGCGACCGCGTCATCGGCCTGCTGCCGATGCTGCGCCGAACCTGGTCCATGGCCAGAGAGGTGCAGATGGAGGAGTGGTCGGCCCAGCTGGGACGCGGCGATCGCGGGCAACGGCGCCTTGAAGGAGGCGTTCGTCAGGGCGCAGCAGGATGAGTCTCAGACGAGGCTCAACATCGACCATGGCACGGGCTTCTAGACGTGGAGGCCTTCTGCGACGGCGTCGAGCGGGGACCTCTGGCGCGGTGTGCGGCCAAGAAAGGGCTCCCGCCAGTGATCCTCTCTCTGGGGCTGCAGCTGCGCCTTATCTCGAGGCTGCTGCAACAGCTCGACTCCGTGTCGGAGCCGATCCAGGCCGCATGCTCCGTCGCGCAGGGGCTCAGGAATGGCGCGCGGTTCGCCAAGTGCCTGACCGCGTGCGCGTGCGAGAAGTTCTGCGTCATGCGCCCGTCGGTGTCGGGGTGGATTTGGATGGGCGACCTTGCGCAGCGGGTAGCAGGGTCGAGGAGGCATTTTCGGACCGCGCTCCTCGGGGGGGCCCTTCCCGCCGCCAGGGAATTCATGGGCCTTGACCTGGGCATGTCCCCCAAAGGCGTGGTCGCATGCTCGCATCATTTTGCCGCGGTTGCAGTCGTGAAAAGTTCTTCGGGGGGGGCGGCGCATCGCTGTCAGCGGTGCTTCCGTCGGCGCACTTGGGCGTGGATCTGAGCGCGGGGCGCCGCCGGGGCAGGGCCACGGTGCGCGAGTGAGCCACCGAGGCCGCCGCGGCTCACGGCAGGCTTCGCCGCTTCCCCCAGGTGGCTAGGCGGTGGAAGGCCACGGCCAAGCTGCAGCGCGCGGGCCCCCGGGCGTCGGCGGGGCACGGCCGCCAGGTCCACGGCGCGGTAGCGCCCAATATGCAGCTGCATCGGCGGCGCCTTGGAGCGGCGGCGGGGTCGCCCAAGAGAGGGCGATGCCTCGCCGCGCCCCTGGCCACGCGGCTACCAGGCGCAGATCCAGGTGCGCTTCTCCCACGCCGAGCTTTTGGTTGGAGGGGCCGCAGCTCAGGCCGCCGATCACCTTGGCATGGCCGGCGACGGTCAGGCACTTGACGAGCATCAAACCTGAGTTGCGCAGCCGACACGTTCGACAGCCTCTGTCCACAGTAATGCTGTATTTACTGGAAGCGGGGTGGGCTCCAGTCTCGCCCGCGGAGTGGGATGTGCCGAATGATGGTGCTCAAGCTGGCTTCTCTTGGAGATTCGGAGGCGCCGAGTTCGCGAGCCTGGACCGGGCGTCCCCATTGCCCGACGTGCTGCAGCACACCATGGAGCTAAGGCAGTGGCGTCAGGCCGCAGAGTTCTATTGTGGAGCAGGGCTCGAGGAGGGAGTTGGCATGCACTCCTACAGTAAGTGTTTATACGATCTCACTCATCCAAAGCGAGGTCGACAAATGTCAGAGCTTATGGCTTCGATTACTACAGGTGGATTTTGGACCAGGGCTTGGAGTTTCGATGCTAACTTGTGTGCGAGCGATATCTATGAACGTTGCAAAACCAGCCGCGAGACGGCGTTGCACCATTGTTGGACTTGCGCCAACAATGACAGTTCGCCAGCATATGCACAATCAGCGTCCTTGCTTCCAGAGGCGGTCACAAACTCTGCGGGCTTCCCATGTTTTTGGATGATGGGGCTCATCCCCACCCCTTGGACTGCTGTCACTCCTCCTCCTTCCACTGAGTCCTGAGATGGCAATGGCCTTTTTCAATGAAGGCCTCGTCGGGCCGGCGTGCCTTGGAGAGGGAACCCCCGAGGAACCCCTCATAATGTTCGGGGATGCCTCTGGAGGGGCCGACACTCACGACAGCCGCATCCGTAAGATCAGTCTCGCTAGTGCCTGTTTCCATTCTTTGGGCCCATCACCCTGGGGCCCTATCCTCTCGGGCCCTTAGTCGGGGCCAGCCAAACGGTGCCTCGCGGGGAGCTCCAAACCCTGTCTTGGGCCATCAGGTTGTCGGTAGGCTCGCTTTTGCATGTTTCAGACTGCGCAGAGATTGCGAGAGGCTGGTACGAAGGCCAGCTTCACTCCTCCTCAGGGCCTCAGGCAGATTTGTGGAGGTCCACTGCCAAGACCTTTTGCAAACAGAAGAGGGACGCTTCTTGTATATCCATAATTCAGGTCCCGTCCCATCTTGACGGGAAGAAGGTCGCTGCTCGTCAGTAGCCCAGTTGGCTTATTCAAGGTAATTGTGTGGTTGATGAGCTCGCCAAGGAGGCGGCCCGTCGAGCGAGAACGCCCCTGGCCGATCGAGCCAGGATTGCACGCGTTGAGAACAAAGCTCGGCTGGTCAGGAAACGATTGTTGCGTGCAGGCCTTGGTTCGATTGATGCTGCCCAATTCAGCCGTAACCCCGAGGAGCCCCAAGCCTGCCACACGCGTTCCTCCGCCTCATCCTGTAGCTGTTGCACGCTTCGCGTCCGCGCAAGTCCTGACCGAAAGTGGGGGATCGTGCAGCGTGTGTGAAGGCTCGGCGACTAAAGCGTGTTTGTCCGACTGGCTAAAAAGTGAGCGCTTCCAACTCCAACCCGTGGATGGTAGGTGATCCCGTCTGCCCCTAGGGTGTAGGTTGCATCACGCAGGAGGCTGGGCCGACCCGTCACACGGCCTAATTAATATATCACCACACTTTGAAGATATGGTACTGAGGCACATGCGGTTATTTCGGTCAGGCCCAGCTCAGGGGCTTAGGTAAACCGTGCAGTACTCCTATCGCCAAGACCCGACGAAAACATCTCGATCGGATTTCTAGGGACTTGTTTCCCAAAGCAGGCAACTGAGTTCAGCCTTTTTATCTCTACGGGATGGCGGAAATCCTGGAAATCCCTCCCACTCCCCCTCCCCTTCCCCCTCCTCCTCCTACCCCCCTCCCCCTCCCCCTCCTCCTCCTCCTCCTCCTCCTCCTCCTCCTCCTCCTCCTCCTCCAACTCCTCCAACTCCTCCAACTCCTCCAACTCCTCCAACTCCTCCAGCTCATCCAACTCCTCCAACTCCTCCAACTCCTCCTCCTCCTCCTCCTCCTCCTCCTCCTCCTCCTCCTCCTCCTCCTCCTCTCCCCTCCCCCTCCTCCTCCTCCTCCTCCTCCTCCTCCTCCTCCTCCTCCTCCTCCTCCTCCTCCTCCCCCCTCCTCCCCCCCCTGCAGGACGAGGGCGAGGAGAAGGGGCCGCTCTGGGAGGCCCGCTGGCGCGCGGGGGCCGCCTGCGGCCGCCACGCCTGCTGGGGCTCCGCCGGCAGCTCGGCGGGCGCCGGGGCGGCGCCGCGCGGCGCCGAGGCCGCCTGCCGGCAACAAAAACAGTTGGGAGCGGCCAAGAGGGGGGTGTCCAAGAGGGGGGGGTGCAAATCATGACCGGCGGCATGTGCGCGGCCCCACGGGGGGGGCCAGGGACGTCATGAAACAAGAGGAGGCGCCATGAAATCTCGGGAAATATCATGGCCCCCGCCATGATTTCCACCCCCCCCTAGTCATCACCCCCCTCTTTTCCGCCCCCGAAACAGGAGCAGGCGGTGTTTGACAGTCTTCGGCCTCCGGGGGCCCTCGCCGGGCCTCGGGGGCGTCAGAGACGACTCGGGACGCGCAAAACGGTCCTGGGGAAGTGGCCCGGACCTCTGGGGCCCACGCATCGAACAACATTGGAGCAGACGGATGTCTGGAGGGGGGGGAGCCACGCGGCCCGGGAGGAGGGGAGGGATGGAGGGAGGGAGGGAGAAGGGGGAGAGGGAGGGAGGGGGGGAGGAGTGGGAGGAGAAGGACAGATCGATCGATGGAGCTCTCGGGCCAGCTCTGTGCTACACTGCCTCGACCCAGAGCCTCGCAGCGCTCAAGCATCCAATACGGCCCAGCTCTGGTCACGTCGTCTAGGGTCTACGGGGCCGCTCGCGCAACTTTGGCAGAGGGAGGAGGAGGAGGAGGAGGAGGGGGAGGAGGAGGAGGAGGAGGAGGAGGAGGAGGAGGAGGAGGAGGAGGAGGAGGAGGAGGAGGAGGAGGAGGAGTTGGAGGAGGAGTTGGAGTTGGAGGAGGAAGAGGAACATGGGAGAGGAGGATGAGGTTTCCGAAGGGAGGAGCAGGAGGCGGACCCCCGATGAGCGACGGGAGGCCTTCTTCTGGGGAGGGGCCAGGCCCGCCGCTCGGCCGGCCGCACGCGGCACGGCGGCTCTGTAACAGAACGGGGCCATCGCCATCACCACTTAACCGAAGTACTCCCACGGACAAGTCGTGGACGCCGACTTCGTCGCACCCCACATTCCATCGAGAAGATAACCTGGGTCGCCAAGGACATAGCACGCCACATGTTCCCAAGACACGTGTGGGATGCCGAACTCGGTGCATGCGGATGCTGGCGAGCATCATCGGGCCATTGAATCTAACGCTGGACCGTCACTGTCGGAATAGATCACCATCGCCGCGACTATCAGCACTATCAAGAAGGCGATTCTGCAGCCTGGACCTCAGGCCCTCCAGGAGATCATGATTTGTCGCGAGTGTCATGCGCAACCCCTGCAGGGAGTCCTTGACCGTACCAGCAGGGAGCCCGGCGGCGGCAGGGGCTGGACCGGAGATACCAACATGTCGAAACTTCAGCGCCAGCGTCGCGTTCGTACCACATCTGGCCATTGATATCGCTTTGGGCCGCAGTACTGAAGCCGTTGCGTCTGCAGCCTCACCTTGTAGGAGCTGATCCAAAGCACTGCCACTGCCATCATGACGAAATTGCTCCTCCTCCCCAGCATAGTCGTGATGTGATTCCTATTCACCCGCGCGAATCTGCCACATCTTACTTAAGCAGTCGTTCGCCAGCACGATCATCAGAAAGAGGCTGCGCGTCCGCACCGCCAGTCACCAGGAACACGCCGCGCACTGACAGTCTGTACGAGAAAGCGGCTGACCCTGAGAACCCCCCAACTCATGAATCAGAAGGTTCACGACTGCGTCCTGCTCCCGACCAGGGCGAAACTCCATGGCAGAAGCATCGACAAAAGGAAAAGAAAGCGACCATGGGCAACTCGTCGCTAAGCCATTTGAACTGCCAACTGTTGCAACATCTGCGCTAGCACCGAATGGACCAACAGACCGTTTACGACGAGGGCTCACAATGGGAGCCGAGTACGTCTTCAGAATCACCGTCGGAAGAATCATCATCACTGTCCCCACGATGCCAGAAACCACGACGCACACCAAGAGCGGGCACAGAACGCAAACACAAGTGCACGATGGACGCTCCATGAGAATGGCGGTGCATGCGGTCGACAAATACCAAACGATCAAAAAACAATCAATAAATCCATAAGATCCGTGACCAACACAACATGAGCAATGGCTGGAACGCCTTGGTACTCTGGGGACGCAGCAAACGCGAACTTGGTTTTGCCCGCCTCGAGTGTAAGGTTGACCACCACACGAAAAGTCACTGCCGCCGCAATTCGCCAGACAGAGAAGACGGGAGGCAACCACCATTGGAGGCCTAAGTGCGGAGGTGGCAGTTCAGAGCAGGTGCAATGACGAAGCGAACCAAAACTTCGTGCCTGAGGAACTGGCTGAGAAGGAGGAGGAGGAGGAGGAAAAGGAGGAGGGAGAGGGGAGGAGGAGAGGAAGAGGAGGAAGGGGAATAGGAGGTGTGGGAGGAGGAGGGGGGGGAGGAGGAATATTCCTGGACGACTGCTGCCTGCGAGAAAAGGCTTTTCTTGAAATGGGCCCTAGCGGGGGTGCACAAATCTTATAATCCTCCGCTTCGAGGCTGTCAGAAGGGTGCTGAAACACCCCGTTCGGACGGTACATTCCAGCGGGACCTTGGCCGCTGACACGCCCTCGAGATACAGCGGCCCTCGAGATACAAGGGTTTTTCGGCTCACCCCAAAATTCCTCCTGGTGCTTCTCGCAACATTATGTTGTGCTTTTCGGGTTTAGCGCAAACCCTCAGAAATAGGAGGACTGACCACTCCCATGACCAAATAAAGAACTCCATACTCAACTGCACAGGAAGGAATGCGGCAAACCATAGCGCACTCATGGCCGTCAACATGTACAGAGCGCCATGCCCCTGCAGACGGTATGGGGCAAGTGGGAGCCCGAGCGCTCTGGCAAGATCTCGTTGGGGGGGAGGGGGAGGAGGAGGGGAGGAGGAGGAGAAGGAGGAGGAGGAGGAGTTTTCTTGCTGTGGACGGCTGCGTGCTAGGCTCAAGACAGGACTAGCGAGCAGGCTTGACCGCGCGGATAAGTGCGGCGGCTGGCATAGAAGACATCCTGGAGGGGCCCAGACATTATCCGAGCACCTAGGCATCACGAAAAAACACGAAAATGTCGCAACGCAGGCATGCTCCTCAATATAACATCAGGAACGCGAAAGTGACAGCAGAGAAATCCCATCATGTTGAAGAGGCAGTTTGACCGTTCATGTTGACGCCCATGGCAATCTCCAGGACTTCGACACAACTCGCGAGGGACAACTTACCGCCTCGTGCGAATACACACTGCGCATGCCGATGAATGCCATCAACCCGCCACCAAGCGCGACGGAATCGCGCCTCCAGCGGCTTCCAAGAGCGAGCCGGGAGAGAGTGGGCGGCCTTCATGTACTCGAGCGTTCGCATCAACTGAGCACGCTCGCCCAAATCATCGTAGTCCAGCTCAATAGGCACCGCCTCGTCCTCCACGCTTGGGCTGTTCCCCGTGCTTGAATTAGTAGCCCCACTATGTAAACCCGGTACTGCCAGCCCATCAGGATCTTGGGCAAGATTGCTAACTCCAGCTGCAAGGCCGAAGTCAGACCCTCCTCCGAGGGCAGATCCCGAGACTCCTCGGCGATGTTGTAGTACTTCACACCGGCGGCGGGGTAGGAGGGCCCGTGACGCCACCCATCTCGCTGGCCATCCACTCTCCCGACGCCGTCTGGACTCTGCGCGGGGGTGCTGCAGCCCTCCGAGGCCTTGGAGGAGCCAGGTGGGGGCGGCACCGCAGCAGGCCGCACCGCCTTCGAGGTCGCCTGCTCCTGGAAGCTCTGCGCCTTCCTCGCGCGCCTCCTGGACAGCAGCTGCGCCGTGGGCGCGGTATGCTCCTTCGGCGCCGTCGCCTGGGGCTGCGGCGGAGGCAGAGGCGGGGGCAGCACTGCCAGCTGGCCCACCTTCTTGCTCTCCTTCTTTTGGCGGTGCGAAGAAGGGGGTGGAGGGAGGGGGGAGAGCTTCTTAGAAGGAGGATGCTTCTTAGAAGGCGCCGGCATTACATCTATAGATAAGGCCCGCGCCTTCTAAGAAGCAGGGGTGCTTCTAAGAAGCCCTCCCCCCTCCCCCCACCCCCCTCTGCGCGTGGCAGATTCTTGCCCTCGTGCTTTCCGTAGATATCTGTCCGAAGCGTCGTTTTGCACCTGCTTTGTACTGGTAGCGGCACCCGTAGTTCCTCTTCCTCGGTCTGCGCGGCGCCTTCAAAATGCACTGCACGTCCGCCCCCGCGCTCGTGACGGCCCGAGGCTCCTGCTCCGACGAGACTGGAGGCTCGATCTTCTGGAAACGGAGGTCGGAGGTGGAGTACTTGGGCGCCCGAGTTATCCAGGGTAACTCGGGTCCGGGGTAACTCGGGTTTGGATTCCCGAAAAAAGGAACCCGAGTTAGCCCTGACCCGAGTTACCCCTGATGATGTGGGGCTCTGGACGCCCGAGTTGTCCGGGGTAACTCGGGCCCGGGGTAACTCGGGTTCGGAATCCCGAAAAGCGAACCCGAGTTAGCCCTGACCCGAGTTACCCCTGATGATTCGGGGCTCTGAAGTACTGGCACCCCTGGGAAATGGGACGAGAGAAACGCAGTGGCCGCTGCAACCAGACATGGTCTGCTGCACCCCGGCCACTCCTGGGGCGCCTGGCGTGGCCTGAGGTACCCGGGCGGTGGCGGCATAGGACACTGGCCCAGGCCGATGGATGGTGACGCTGAGCTCCACGCGGTGCCCGACAGGGACATTGACCCGGAACTCGGCATGCCCCAATGGTTGACCATGCACCTACAGAAGCCGTTCCTGACCCTGCACTTCGCCCACAAGAAGTCGGAGTTGTCGGCCAACTCAGTACACGTCGGTCGGAAGAAGTAGGTAGAAACATGAAGTAGGAAGGCGGATTAAGTCGATTGGGTCCAGGGCCCCCAGGGAATAACAAAACACAGCAAAAGCGTGCCGATTCTTGATGTAGGACGGCGCTTGAAGTAGATTGGGATCCGGGAATCCAAAAATACCTATGATACCAGAGAAAAAAACCCAATCCTAATCGTTTTAGGGCTGTTGGCCTATGGGGCTATAAGGCAATAGAGCTAGAAGGCTAAAGGACTGTAGGGCTAAAGGGCTACACGGCCATAGGGCTATAGGGCTATTGGGCTACAGGGTTATGGGGCTGTAGAGCTATAGGGTCATAGGGCTATAGGGCTATATAAGGCTATAAGGCTATAGGGCTATTAGGGCTGTAGGGCTACAAAGGTACAGGGCTGTAGGGCTAGAGCTAAGTACCGGGCACCTGGGCACCCGGGCACCTGGGCACCTAGGCACCCGGGCACACGAGAACCCGGGCACCCGGGCACCCGGGCACCTGGGCACAAGGGCCCCCGGGCCCCTGGGCACCCCCGGGCCCCCGGGCACCCGGGCGTGCCGCGAAAATCGGCGGCAAACCTAACCTAACCATACGAATCCGCTAGGACCCCTACAGAGGCAAGCTCTGACTGGGGAACTTTCACCGACCGGCGTGTACCGCAGGCGCTCATGCCTGCACAGCGATGCTGGCACAGCGGCAGGGCGCGCGGCCTCGAGATGGAGGTGCCTGGCTTGAGCAAGCCAAGATGGGCCCCGAGGGAGGCACCAGCTCGAGCCCAAGCGGCAGCTTGAGCCAAGAGGGTACGGGGAGGAGGAGGAGGAGGAGGAGGAGGAGAAGGAGGAGGAGGACAAGGAGGAGGAGGAGGAGGACAAGGAGGAGGAGGAGGATGAGGAGGAGGACAAGGAGGAGGAGGAGGAGGAGGAGAAGGAGGATAAGGAGGAGGAAGGGGGAGGAGTAGCGAGGAGGACTAGCGAGGAGGACTGGGAGGATACCTCTATATAGGAGGGGGCGAACGAGAAAGAGTTGAGGCGCATGAGGTACGAAGCGTGGGGAAGAAATGTCCCTCCCTTTGAGGAGGGACCGACCGCCCTGGCATTCTTATCGGCCCAGCATGACAGTTCTCAGAGCCTCAAAACATTCTCAGGACAAGAACACCGTTCTTCGAACATTATCCTGGCGAAGGACCCAACCATGTGCAGTTCTGAGTAACGCAATTGTGGGTATCGTCTTCGGTGAACCTCTCTCTGGGGCCACCACACATGTGACGGGTGTGCCACAATTGGTACGGGTACGCCACGCGGACGCTCCCACCGGAGCCGTCGGTGGAGCCCAATGTCAAGCCACGAAACGGGTGAAGGGTGCGCCGAAATGCAGGGTGGAACCGCGCGCGAGCGCTGCCACTGGGGCCTTCGGTGGAGCACCTTACGAAGCCACCGAGCGTGCGAGGGGTGCGCCGAAATGGAGATGGAACTGCATGCGGACGCTGCCACTGGGGCGTTTGGTGGACCATACATATGGCCACGAAACGTGTGTGGGGTGCGCCGAAAAGAGGGTGGAACTGCATGCGGACCCTGCCACTGGGGCCTTGGGTGGAGCATCCTATGTGGCCACGAAACGTGTGAGGGGTGCGCCGAAATGGGAGTGCAACTGCATGTGGACCCTGCCACTGGGGCCTTCGTTGGAGCACCCTATGTGGCTTCGAAATGTGCGAGGGGTGTGCCGAAATTGAGGTGAAACTGCATGCGGATCCTGCCATGGCCTTCGGCGGAGCACCCCATGGGGCCGCGAAGCGTATGAGGGGTGCGCCGAATGGGAGTGCAACTGCATGCGGACCCTGCCATTGGGGCCTTCGGTGGAGCACCCTATGGGGCCGCGAAACGTGCGAAGGATGCTCCGCGATGGAGGTGCAACTGCATGCGGACCCTGCCACTGGGGCCTTCGGTGGGGCACCCTATGGGGCCGCGAACCGTGCGAGGGGTGCGCCGAAATGGAGGTGGAACTGCATGCAGACCCTGCCTTTGGGGCCTTCGGCGGAGCACCCTATGGGGTCACGAAACGTGCGAGGGGTGCGCCGAAATGGGGGTGGAACTGCATGCGGACCCTGCCACTGGGGCCTTCGGCGGGGCACCCTACGTATGGGGCCACGAAACGTGCGAGGGGTGCGCGAAATGGGGGTGGAACTGCATGCGGACCCTGACATTGGGGCCTTCCTTGGAACACCCTATTGGACCACGAAACGTGTGAGGGGTGCGCGGACATGGAGATGGAACTGCATGCGGACCCTGCCACTGGGGCCTTTGGTGGAGAACCCTATGGGGCCGCGAACCGTGCGAGGGGTGCGCCGAAATGGAGGTGGAACTGCATGCAGACCCTGCCTTTGGGGCCTTCGGCGGAGCACCCTATGGGGTCACGAAACGTATGCGGGGTGCGCCGAAATGGAGTTGGAACTGCATGCGGACCCTGCTCCTGGGGCCTTCGTTGGAGCAACCTATGGGGCCACGAAACGTGCGAGGGGTGCGCAGAAATGGAGGTGCAACTGCATGCGGTCCCTGCCACCGGGGGCTTCGGTGGAGCTCCCTATGGGGCCACGAAGCGTGTGAGGGGTGCGCCAAAATGGAGGCAGCGGGAGGAGGGAGGGAGGAGGGGAAGGATGAAGGAGGAGTGAGTGAGTGACGCGGGGCGCTGTCACTTCAAAACGAGGACCCAACACCACAGGATGGTTGGGAGTAAGCCCGATGTGTTGAAACAAAGCAGTCTCAGCCAGAAACGTTCTAAGAACACGTCGAGCATACCACAAAAGGTTCTTCGACAATTCTCTGGTGGGCCCATAGGCGAGCCAGGATGCTTCGCCACTGCTTGATCCCTTCCTCCCCCTTCTTTCGCCTCGCCCCTCCCCAGCTTCGCGGCCGGGGAGGTCAACATCAGTCGACAAGGACTCGGGAAATCGGATAGAATCGGAATGCGCGTCCGGCGGCCGCGCTGGCATGCGCAGCAGCGCCGCCCAGGTCGGTGGCGTCCACGAGGGGGGCGTCCAAGAAAGGGAGGGGGGGCAACTCATGACCGGCGGCGTGTGCGCGGCCCGGGGGGGAGGGAGCGGGGACGTGCTGAAGTAAGAGGAGGCGCCATGAAACCTGGGGAGATTTCATGGCCCCGCCATGACATCCACCCCCGCCCCCTAGTCATCACCCCCCTCTTTGCTAAAGGGGCCCCAGGACACACAAATAAATACACACAAATAAAACAAATCCCCATATTTTCCCACATGTTCTTGGTTTTTGTCTTCCCCCCCCACTTCCCATATTTTCCCATATTTTCCTGGGGATCGCTAATTAATTGTGTCTGTGTTTTTTCCCCTCCTGATTTGCTGCCCCCCTGAGGGAAGCGGATCCTGGGCCGTGGGACGTTGAGGCCCTCTTGGGGCCGCCTCCCGGTGCGCCCCCCTGGGGCTCCCACAGGGCCCCAGAGGGGAGCCACAAGAAAGAGCCCCAACAGAGAGCCGTGCTCTCTTCGGGGATGGACAGACCCCCCTTTAGTAAAACGTGGTTTAGTGAAAACGACCTGAGGCCTAAACCTGGCGGGCGCAAGCCTGGGAAACAACGGCCACGGCGCCCTCTCGAGAACCGAAAACGGACAATTCACTAATCGACGTGTCACTGTTGGGGGTTCTGTCCAGCCCCGATCTCTCTCTCTCTCTCTCTCTTGGGGCTTTCCTCCCTTAGGCTGGCGGCGCGCACAAGGGGGTATGGGGGAGGGGGGGCGGCTTCTCAGGAGGCTGCTTCTTGGAGGCCGCCGGCCCTACATCTACCGACGAGGCCCGCGCCTTCTGAGGAGCAGCCTCCTTGTGAGAGGCACTCCCCCACCCCCGACCCCCCCCTTCGCGTGGCCGAGCCGTGCAGGTGCGGGCACAGCGTCAGGGGCGGGGGCCCAGATGTGGGCGGGGAAGGCGTGGGCAGCCTGCGGGGGGAGCGGACGAGGCGCTCGAGGGAGGGCGGGCGGGGAGCGCGAAGCGGGGAGGACCAACTCGGACGACGAGGAGGCCGAGGACGAGGACGAGAGCCGAGGGCGGGGGGGGGGCACAGTGCGGAGAGGAGCGGGCGCTCAGGCGGGAGGAGGGCCGGCCCCCCACGGGTGGCGTCCGCCCCGGCCCCACCTGCAGCCGCTGCAGGTCGGCCCGCGTGGCCGCCGCGGCCTCCCCTTTTCGTGGCGCGGGGGCTGCGCCATGGTGGGGGCCGCGAGGCAGTCGGCCTGGATTGGACAGGACACGCGAGAGGGCACAAGACCCTTCCGAGGGCCACATCGCCAGAATTAGGAGTGTAGGAAGGCACGTGTGCAGGCACAGGACACAAGGGTACCCTTGAGCTGGCAGGGTCGACCTACTAATCCGAGCCGACTGTAGGAAGGGGGGGAGGCGAAGAGACGTGCACCGCTCGTGCCTCCTTTTGGGCCCCAGGAGGGGCCCTGTAGGGCCCCTGGCGGGCAAAAGACAGTGCACATTTCTAGAAGAAGAAGAAGAAGAAGAAGAAGAAGAAGAAGACGCTATGAACAGAAACTTTGGCGCTCCGCGCGGATTTCTCGGATCTGCGCTGACCCTCCTCCCTGGCGCGCTCCGCGCGCCAGGAGCGGCGCCGGAGGCGCCGCCCGGGGGGTGCCCAGCCCGGATCCAAGAAATCCGCGCGGAGCGCCGAAATTATGTTTATGACGTTTTTCCTTCTTCTCGACTTTCTTCACCCCCCCATGTATCGCCACCCCATTACGCAACGCCCTTGTGAGCGTCTTCTCATTCGGCGTTTCGACATTGGGCGGAATGGGGGGGCGGGGGGGGGGGACTGTTTGGGACCGTGCGTCCGATGGGGGGGCCTGCGCCTGCTCGCAACAGGCGCCCCAAGAAGCCAAGATCTGCTCCAGAAAGGGGGCGATGGGGGGGGGGTACGAGGGCCCAGGGCCCGCGCCGATCGGCAAAGGAATGAATAAGGAAAAAGCCAACCAACGCCCGACCCTTTCGTTATCCTTCTTCCCCGCGCCTCTGATCGCCCACGCTGTGGCTCGGCGGCGCGCCGGGGGGGGGGAGGCAGAGGGGTCTGCGAAGGAAGCCCCCCCCCAGAAGGCTCCCGGCCTCCCGAGGAGCTCTGCGCCAGCCTGCTCGGAAGCCACGGGCGGCTTCTCGGAAGGCCAGGAGGGTTCTCGGAAGCTCCGCCGCGTTCCAGGGAGCCCTGTCCCCCTCTCTCGGGGGCGTCAGAGAAGGAGGCGTCCAAGAGTGGGGTTCGCACCTCATGGCCCGAGGCGTGTGCGCGGATCGGAGGGGGGGGGCCAAGGGGCGTACTGACGTAAGACGAGGGGCCAGGAAGTCCGGGGAGATATCATGGCCCCAGCCATGATATCCCCCCCTGGTCATCCCCCCCCCTTGGCCGCCCCCGACTCTCACTTCCCCCCTCGGCGCGCCGCCAGGCCTCTGATCGCCAACACCGTGGCAGGCCCGTGCGCAGGCGTCGCTCGAGAACTACGCCGAGCCCATTGCCATGCTTGGCCGTGCCCCCGGGTCCTCCCACGCCTACCTTGAGGGGGGAACGAAGAGGGAGGACCAGAAGCATCGAGCTCTAGCGGCCTCATGATCCACCTCCTTCTCATCCTCCTCGTCCTCGTTCTCCTCTCTCTATTCCTCCTTCCTCTTTCTCTCCTGTGTTTCCCTTGGGAAACACATCGTCCAACAGCTTGCCCAGACGTTTGCCCAAACTTTGGCCGCATGGCCGTTTCCAAAGGCAGGGGCGGCGGTGATTCGCCGAAGGCCTCTTCGATAGAGGTGGCTCGAATCGGCGACGCATCGCTGATGTGCCCCGTGCCTGCACGATGTGGGCGTGCTGGAATGCCAGGCGCTGCACTGCAGGGTTTTTGTACTCGGAGGACGGACCCCTCCCTCTGGTCGCAGACAAGGGCATGCACCCTCCCTCGCGCATCCTAATCCCAGCAGCGGTGCTCACGCCACGCCCTCCTGGCTTGGCCATGGGGAAGTATACACAGCTGCTGGGCCCAGGAAGGGCCCACCCCTCGGCGTTCTCTCTTCTCCGGTCGAGGTGCTCTTCAAGCCGCTCTGGGATGCGCTGATCGTCGGCCTGCCTGTGTGGTGCGCTCAACGTCTCCCTCGCGGCCTTCCCGCGGCCTCCTTCTTTGTGGGAGGACGTGGGGAAGTCTGGAGCGTGACCATCCCATCTCGACTCAACGATTCGGCAGCAGCTCTGCGAATCGAGAGGCCGCCATGCGAATCAGGAATGCATACACCTACTTGCGGTAGGCAAGCTCATGCAGCTTTTTCGGGGGCGCGCAGACGTGGATTAGCGATCCATGGATCTGGCGCGCGGTCGCCAAATCCATGGATCGAGGGAAGTGCCCGCCCCAACATGCGACCGGTGCCGCCTTGCTCGGCGGCGGAGATCCGCGGTTCCCCAGAAACGGGACCCGTCGCGAATCCACGCCCCCTTGATCCATGTTTGCGATCGCCTGACTTTCGTGACCAGAGAGAAACAATCTTCCCGGGGCCTCCTGATACCCCTTGTGAGCGTTCTCTTATTCGGCGCTTCGACATTGGGCGGAAGGGGGGGGCGAAGGGGGGGGTCTGGCTCAGGACCTCTGCGTAGTGCGCAATTTGCAACTGTAAGTCCTACGGGGGAGACCCCGCCTGCTCGAAACAGGCGCCAAAGACAGCCGAGATCCACTCCATAGGGGGAGGGGAGGGGAGGGGGTGCGAGGGCCCGCGCCGATCGGCAAAACAATGAATAAGAAAACGCGCACAAATTTAGGAATGAAAAAACGCCCCTACCCTGGGTTACGAGTCCGTGGTCAGTAAACCTCCTGGGAACTCCCACGGGCCAGAGAGCCGCCAGGACGCCGCGCGGCACGCGCGATACGCAGGGTTGACCCTGTCAGCCCTCAGGAAGTTCAGCGCACAGCGCCTCATAAACCAGGGTAGGGGTGTTTTTGTTACGCCCTTGAACAAACAGCCTTCCCGGGGCCTCGAGGTCGGCGGAACAATCCTCCTCCTCCTCCTCCCAATTTGACCAATGGGGGAGGAGGAGGAGGAGGAGGAGGAGGAGGAGGAGGAGGAGGAGGAGGAGGAGGAGGAGGAGGTGGAGGGGGAGGGGGAGGAGAGGAGGGAGGAGGAGGAGGAGGAGGAGGAGGAGGAGAAGGAGGAGGAGGAGGAGGAGGAGGAGGAGGAGGAGGAGGAGGAGGACGAGGGCCTCCTGATCCTCCCTGCGGGGTCGGCGGAACCTGCCGCGAGGCCTCGAGTCTCCAGCGAGGAGCACGGGCGGCCGGCGGCCTCTCTCCTCGGAGGTGCGCACCGGGCCTCGCCCTCCGTGCACTCCCCTCCTGGTCCAGCCGTGTCTTAGGGTCGGGCATGTCCTCCTGCAGGCGGATGTTGGGCGAATAGTGCAAAATGGTCCAGAACGGCTGGGGACAGAATCGACAAATCATCGAAGCATCGTCCCCGGACGATGTTTTGACTAGTTTTGTGAGTTTTCCTCCTGTAAAGGGACACGCCCGGCTTAAGCCTTGTCGCCCCACGCTGTCCCCCCCAGCCGAAGCCATGTCGTTCAGCGCCTGTCTGAGAGCTTGGACCTCGATGGGAAGGAGGCCAGGGCAAGACCGTTCTCCTCCTCCTCCTCCTCCTCCTCCTCCTCCTCCTCCTCCTCCCCTCCCCCTCCCCTCCCCCTCCCCCTCCCCTTCTCCTCTCCCACCTGCGCCACGTTCTCGTCCTCGCCCTCCTCCTCCTCGATCCTCCTCATCCTGCCCCTCCGCCCACGATTCACACACAAGCCCCGCACGAGACGGAGCGGTAAACAGAACCACACCCAATTGATCAAACGGAACAGATGCACTCTGTGGTACGTATAACTATACTGCATCTTCGAAGATTAAAGAACGATGTGAAATAATGCGCACCAAAGGGCGCTGAATGCACACGGCAACGCTCTGCAGAAACAAACCTTCAGGATCCCCAATAGAAATGACATCGTGGCGTCAGACTGCACTCGTTCCACCGAGACCCCCCTCCACCTCGTCCTTCTCTTGTCCCCGCCGGGAACCAGGCCCCGCAGATGACCGCATACATGGGGGACACCATGGCGCGATGACGCGATGTCGTGATCGATCTGATCGCCCAACTGCGCAGAGGAGGCGGGGCCACGATCAACAACCACTACTCATGCACTGGCGGTGCGAGATACAAGCATCATAGGAATGCGCCATAGACAGACAAATACTTGGGCCGTCCACCGCGCCCGAAGGCATGAATGCAATGGCAGAGACAGAGCCATGTGTGTATGCGTCTGAGCATATGTGAGCCAGCGTGGGCCCCGAACAATGATTCCCCGTCAATGTGTGCGATGTAATCTGGGTGGTGCAATACAGGTGGTGCAACCCACGTGGATGCAAAGCAATGTAAACGAATGCAAAGAAAGGCAACGCGATTGCAACGCAACGCAACGCAACGCGAAGCAATTGCACGCAACGCAACGCAATGCAACGCACTGCACAACATTGGACAGCAACACAATGCAATGCAACACAATACAACACAACACAACACCATGCAACACAATGCAATGCAATTGCAATGCGATTGCATTGCCGTCCGACGCACTGCACAGCAATGCAAAGGAGTGCAAAGCAATGAGAAGCAATGAGAAGCAATGCACAACAATGCACACTTAGGCGAAGCAGTGCAAGACAATGCAAAGCAATACAACTCAAACCAATTCACAGCAATGCAAACCAATGCGAAACAATGCAAATAAACGCAACAATCCGCGAAGCAATACTAATCAAAGCAACGCCACGAGAGACCATTCCGAAGCAGCGCAACGCAACGCAACGCGGAACAACGAACAGCAGTGCAAAAGCAGTGCGAACCGGTGCAGGGCAATGCAGTGCGATGCGGTGCAGTGCAACACAGCGCAGCGCAAACCGATCCAGAGCAGTGCACCGCGATGCAAGCCAATGCAGCAGTGCAATGCTCGGGAGCGGCCAAGAGGGGGGTGTCCAAGAGGGGGGGGTGCAAATCATGACCGGCGGCATTTGCGCGGCCCCGCGGGGGGACCTGGGACGTAATAAAATAAGAAGAGGCGCCCTGAGATCTGAGGAAAAATCATGGCCCGCGCCATGATATCCACCCCCCCCTAGTCATCACCCCCCTCTTTTCCGCTCCCGACAACAGTGCACTGCGATGCAGGCACGTGTACGCACAGCAGCGCACAGCGACGGGACACGCTGCAGACCGCTGCGAAGGTGCGAGCCTCGCGCAGCCAAAAGAAGCGCCGGGACCGCAGGCGTCGGCGACGGGCGGCGACGGGAGGCCACAGCCTCCTCCTCCTCCTCCTCCTCCTCCTCCTCCACCTCCTCCTCCTCCTCCCTCCTCCCCTCCTCCTCCTCCTCCTCCTCCTCCTCCTCCTCCTCCTCCCCCTCTTCCGCCCAGGGCTTCTCTCGAAGAGACGCCGCAGTCTCAACGTGTTCTCATTCGGCATTTCGATCTTTGGGCGGAAGAGGGGAGGGGGGGGGAGTGGGGGGTGCGGCTCTGGACCTCTGCTTGACGCGACCGTCTGCAACGGTGCGTCCTATGGGCGAGACCCCGCCTGCTTGAAACAGGCGCCGAAAGCAACCAAGACCTACTTTATCTGGGGGGGGAGGGGGTGCGAGGGTCCGCGCCTATCGGCAGAACAATGACTACGAAAACGACCACATGACCCCTAAATGCAAGCATTGCGTGGGGAACATGTGTATTGCGATGTTTTGGTGTACATGCATTTCTTGATACCCATCAACGTACGATGGAGAAGCGCCGCATCCATCAAGTCAAACATTGTGGTGAATTATCAACCACGTGTGCCTTACTGCTGCTTGTGAGCATCGGTGGACCATCGTTCACCCACAATTCCTGCTCTTCGATACACCCGCAGATCGTCCGTTTACCATCAGAGCATACTTTCGTCAAACACTGAAGCGTGGCTTACAACATTCAACTGGTTGAAGCGGCTGCTCCAAGTGCGCTTCCCCATGCCCGAGGCCAGGAGGCTACGATGCCGCACATGGTGTGTAGCAACTCGCGGTGGACACACAAGAAATTTTGAAAGACTGTGGTTCGAGTGTTGCCTGGTCCTACGTGGTGAAGCAATCGAGAGCGGTTCTGCAGCGACTTGCTCTCGGTGGGGCCGATCGGCCCCATAATGCTGTGCCCCAGAGGCCCCAAGAGGCCCCCACGAGGCCCTTAAGATGCCCCCCAAGAAGCTCTCAAGACCCCTCCGAGGCCCCAAGAGGCTCCCCAGAGGAATCCGAGACATCCCAAGAGGCCCCGGGACTGCCAAAAAACCGCCAAAACACCCCAATAGGACTCCAAGAAGCTAACGGAAGAAATCCGAAGAGACTCCGAGAAGCATCCAGAAGGCATCTGGCCTTTCTGTTCGCCCTCCTCCTCTTCGTCATCCGCCTTTTCCTCCTCCTTCTTCCTCGCTCTTCCCCCTCCCCCTCTCACTCCTCCTCCTGCTCCTCCTCATCCTCCTCCTCCTGCTCTTCCGAGTCCTCCTACAACCTCCCCCTCTTGGGGTATGACGTCTTACCCAGCCCTTTAGTCCACTGCGTGCTCCTCCATATCCCTGATCAAGGCAACTCGTCTGGGCATCGTTTCTGCATGGGGTGGTGGGTTTCCGCGAAGCTTTTAGAATAACGATATAGGTGGGACTCGACGCAAAGATCATGAACTGAGGACATCGTATACGGCAAGGTTAAACAGCGCGATCCACTGATCTGAAAACGCTGGAAAACTTAGCAAGCACTGCAAGCACAACGCCTCCTTGTTATCGTTGTTTGCCGAAGGCTGGAAGGGCCAATCAGATGATACCCAAGACGCCAAGTTCAATCCTGTAAGCACAAACCACCCAAGACATATTTACAATAAGCAACGACATGCATCCATACATTCATGCAACCTTACGTACAATCTACACAGGTATAGAGAGACCAAACAACAAAGAAAAGACACGGTAATTGCCTGCTCCGCGTTGCTGGCGCGCTCCGCCTGGGATCGCTTCCGCTCACACCACTCCCTCGTCCATCGACCGTGTTAGGTCTTCGCCACATGGGATTGTGCGTTCCGCGCAACGCGAACCGCACAATTGGATGCTGCTTTGCAAATGTGAACGGATGTGTTGCAGATGCTGTGTATTCAAACGCTCAACTTTCTCTTCCAATCACAACGTCACGCATCAAACAGACGAATTGACAGTATCCGTGCTGCAACCCCTGGCCACGTGCAGAATCTTCCGATGTTGCCACGGCAACGTTCTGCATCTCGTCCCCTCGAAAAGCGCAGATGAGCCCGGTGCAGGTCATGCTGTCCCATGTTCGCGGAGGAGCAAAAACGGCATAGACATGAGCTGCTCCGCACGGATTTCTTGGATCGGCGCTGGTCCCCCCCCCCACGGCGCCTCGGGCGCCGTCCTGGCGCGCCCAGAGGGCCAGGGAGGGAGAGTCCAGCGCTGATCCAAGACATCCGCGCGGAGCTCCATGATTTTTGGTTGTGCAGCTTCTGTTTTTCGAGTTCGAGGAGCGTCCCAGCCACATCATGCGACAAGCGAACAACACACACGCACCCACACAAATAGGGGGATCGGAGGGAGGATGACTGGCTGTTGGTATGGGTGCGGTTTGTCGGACCCTGGGGGAGGCCCACGTTCGAGCGGGGGCCCCCATCCGACAACACGCACCCATAGCCCCCTCTGTCCCCCTATGGGTCTGGGTGCGTGCTGTTCGTTCGTCAACATGTGGGGCGTCGGGGACGGTGGTCCAGGATGCCAGACGTGGCAACACCTGCGGCGCCAGGGAGCCAAGCTCTCTGCCTCCAGAGAAACCTCCTGACTCCACACGCGGGAGCAGCGGATAGGTGCTGTATGCCATCCTGTTCGGTGAATTACTAGGGAGCCAGCAGGAGGACGTACGCGCCCAACCACGTACATGCATAAGGCTCCCCAGCCCTCGAGACCAGCCTCGTGACACGCACGTTGGCGCAATGCGTACTTTCGAAACCATCGTGGCTTCAATGAAATGTACTTCCTTCTTTCGCTCCTGAATTATGTAGCACCCCGCAGTTTGCGGACCCGAATGAAGGACGGGCGCAGGGTGGGTCGCGGGAGAGTCGCCGGGTGGGTCGCTGGGAGGTCGCGGGCGAGGACGATGACCAACGGGAGGAACCATGCGGAGATCCTGAGCCCGGAGGAATCATGAGGAATCTTGTGGAATTCTGACGAAGCCTGAAACATCCGGAGAAACCCTGCGGATTCCTCAGGACCCCTGAGGAATCCTAAGGAACCCTCAGGAACCCTGGGAAATCCCGAGGAAGCCTGAGGAATCCTTCTGAATCCTGAGCCATCTGGCGCAGTCCTGAGGAATCCCGAGGACTGAAGAATCCGGAGGGATCCTCAGGAATTCGCAGGAGACCCAAGGCATTGCAGGAAGGCCTTCCTCATACAAAGAGCGACGCTCCAACAAACCCCCCGGGGGGGCCTCCGGGGGTCTGTTGTGGAGTCGGCGTTGATGGTGGTGGGTGGGGGGGCGCCAGCGCGCGCGTTCACGAAGCAACAATCCTTTTAAGACTGGTCGCTCTTATCTGCTCGCGTGCCGTTCCACACGTAATACTCCAAACCCTCGATGCCCGCCCTCTCCATTTTCGATCGTACCCTTTCCTCAACTGCAGCGTATATGTTGTGCAGCCCCTGAGGCAGGAGAAGAGAGGACGGATGGAAGGAAGGGTCAATGGGCTTGCTGAAGTGGGCGTCCTGCATGAATCGTGAAGAAGTCCCGACCGATAGCGCGATTCCGAAATAAATCGCGAGGACATCCACAGCGAGAGCGTGTTTCCTGAGTGTCGAGGGCGCGGCGTCTGAACACATTGCGATAAAGTCCCTCGCGATAGCGCGATTCCTGCATAACTTGTGAGGAAATCCCGCGCGAGAGCGCGATTTGGGAACTAATTGTGAGGACATATCAGGCGGGAGCCGCTATTGCCGTAAACCGGAGGGACCAAGGGCACAATTTGGTGACACCTCACTTTCCCTTGAAAAAAAAAAGGAGGCAAGTCCCGGGAGAAGTAATCGAAAAATGCAGTGGTTACTGGAGGGGGTCAGCAATAATTATTCTTGAGAAATGGGACAACACCACCACCAACGACGACGACGACGGCAACAACAACAGCAACAGCAACAGCAACAACAACAACGCTAATAACAATCATGTTAATACTGATCGTTCTTATCTGCTCGCGTGCCGTTCCGCAAGTCGATCCCAAACCCTCGATGCCCGCCCTCCTCGTCTTCGATCGTACCCCCGTGGGGGTATATCTGTTTTACCTGCAAAGCGAATTTCTTGCAGCCTCTGACGCAGGGGGAGAGAGGACGGATGGAAGGAAGGGACAACGGGGAGTGAGGAGGATGGACCACGAATGAGAATAGCAAGAGGGGGGCCAGGAGCAGAAAACACCTGGCAAAACCAGACGGGCAGATCGGGCGGGTAGACCCTAACGGGCGGGTCAGGAAGGCGGACCCAGGCGGTCAGGTCGAGCAGGCGGGATGCTGAAGCGTGCGTCCTGCATGAATCGCGAGGCAATCTCGAGCGATAGCGCGAATCCGCGGGGGCCACGAAGGGCATACTTATATGGGGCCGCAAAGGGCAAGGACGGGGCCACTGAGGGCAGAAACGGGGCCACGAAGGGCAGCGAGGTGACCGCGAAGGGCGACAGCGGGGCCACGAAGGGCATGCATATGGGGCCACGACGGGCGCGAACGAGCGGGGGCTACGAAAGGGCATACATATTTGCGGCCAGAAAAGCCGACAGCAGAGCCACTGAGGGCAGCAAAAAGGCCACGAAGGGCAGCGAGGGGGTCGCGAAGGGCGACAGCGAGGCCACGAAAGGCATGCGTATGGGGGACCACGAAGGGCGCGAGCGAGCGGGGGCCACGAAGGGCATATAATGACGGGCCACAGAGGGCGGCGACGGGGCCACTCAGGGCAGCGAGCAAAGGCGACCGCGGAACCAGTACAGGCAACGACGGGCATCGAAGGCGGCCGAAGGGCAGCGAGCGGCGACTGCAGTCCCTAACGGGCTGGTCGGGCGGACAGGCCCCGACGGGCGGGTCGAGCGGGCGGGTCGTTGAAGCGTGAATGCTGCTTGGATCGCCAGGACGTGCGTAGCGGGAGCGCGAATCCCAAGTAAATCTTGAGGAGGTCCAAAGCGAGAGCGCGATTCCTGACCGTCGAGGAGCGGCATCTCCGTACAGTATGGGGAAGTCTCAGGCGAAAGCGCGATTCCTGAACTAGAGGCCTCCTAGATGGGGTCGGAGTAGATGGGGTCGGAGGATCGCGCCGCATCGCCGATGCATCGCCGATACATCGGCGATGCATCGGCGATGCATCGGCGATGCACCAGCGATGCATCGTCGACGTCGGTGGTGCATCGGCAACGTCGGTGTGAAGCAAATCGGGCTCCGCATCGAGCCGCATCGTCGATGCATCGGCGATGAGGCGCGATCCTCCGACCCCATCTACTCCGACGCCATCCAGGAGTCCTAGATGAGCAAATTGCCAGGACGTCTCAAGCGACAGCCTGATTTCTCAATTCGCCGGCCCAACGGGCCAGAGGCGTGCTAAGATCTCCGGTAACTTGTTATCAATATTTCTAGTTCGCGCGCGCGGAGCGGCCCCTGGGGGCCCCCGGACGAAAAGTACCCCGGCAAGGTCCCGAGAGAAGCCCGGGAGAAGCCACCAGACCACTCCAGGGGAGGGTATTTTTCGACACCCCTCACGAGGATCGTGGCCTCCGAGGGGGGAGCCGCAATCGACTACCCCCAAGAGCCCCCCAAGAGGCCCTGGGGGCCTCCAAAACGCCGCCAAGGAGCCCCAAGAGACTCCCAAGAGGTCCCCAAGAGGCCCCCAAGAGGCCCTAAAGAGGGCTCCAGGGCCGGCGGCATGAGCGAAGCGATTAATAAGTTGTGAGGAAGTATGAGGCGGGAGCCGTTGTTGTTGCAACTCGGGGGCCAGGGGTGCAATTTGACGCTCAAGACTGTCCCTGATAAAAACCAGGTGCGAGCCCAGGGAGGGGAATTTCACTTGGAAAAAAAAGATGTGCACCGGGCAGAGGGGATCAACAATGAGTAACATCCAAAAATGAAAATTCAAGAACACCAGCGACGACAACATCAACAACAACAGCAGCAACACCACCACCAACAACAACAACAACAGCAATCACAACACCACCATCAACAACAGCAGCAGCAACAACAAAACCAACAACACCAACAGTCAAAGCAACAGCAACAGCAACAACAACGATAACAGCAACAGCAACAACATTGGCACCAACAACAACAGCAACAACAACCACGACGACGACAACAGCACCACCACCACCAACAACAGCAACAACAACACCAACAACAATAACAACACACACATTCCGAATGATTGATGGTTCTTGATGCAGCATGCATCATGACAGCTCCCCCTTCTGGGGGATTGCTCTTGCCCAAAACGAGCCCGACATTCCCTTACCCAGATCTCCCGCCCGAGGAAGTCTTGACAACACCTCTTCCGAGGCACTTCCAAATCTCCAGTCTGGATGGCATGTCGCCTTTTCAATCGCCCTGCCCATGCCTTGTTTCGATGTATCGCCATGCCTGGATGGCCTAAGACCTCTGGGAGGGGCCCCACAACCTCTGGGAGAGCCCCCAGAAATCCTTGGAAAGCCGCCAGAACCCTGTGGAGAGCACCCAAAACCTCTGAGACAAGCTTTGTAGCCCTTATGGGGAACATGGAGGGTCCTGGGAAACGCCTCAAAGCTGAGCTAGAGGGCTGCTGGGTTCTCTTGAAGGAAGCCTCCGGGCATTTTTGGGAAAAGTCCTGGACCTAAGCAACTTCTGGGCTTCGTGAAGGAGCCCGGAACGCCTCAATCGGAGGAGGAGGGGGGGAAGGAGGAGGAGCAGGCAGCACGAGGAAAAAGAAGAGGGATGAGGAGGAGCAGCAGGA